TGATACAATTTTTGGCTTTTTATTTTTTGCCTACTGGTCTGTCATGTCTGAGTCCTTTAAGACTACTAAATAGAAGATCGTAAAGTAGGTAGTTTACAAACAACATAAATTTATTTCTCAAAGTTCTAGAGACTGGGAGGTCCACAATCAAGGAATTGGCAGAGTTGATCATGGATCAGGGCCCATTTTCTCATAGATGGCATGTTCCTGCTGTGTTCTCACAAAAGAAGCCTGAAAGGGGTCAATGAGCTCCCTGGGGGTATTGTAAAGGGGAAAGGGAACTAATCTCCTTGCTTAGAGCTGAATTCTCAGGACCTAATCACCACCCAGAGGGCCCTCCTCCTAAAACCATAACTTTTAAGATGCTGGTCTTATGATATCAGTAATTATTAAACTATTGTTAAGGTATTACCGTACCTTAGTGTTAGGATTGCGTATGATTTGGGAGCAATACAGACTTTCAGACTGTAGCACCTGGAACCAATTTTTTAAGAGGATGTTGTTACTTGGTTAAATTTAATTTGTTTTCATGTGGCTATCCAGTTGTTCCAACATCAAATATTGAACCACCCTCCCTCTCACTGGTATGCATTGCCTCCTTGTGTTGCAATTCAATTGTCCAGATGTGTATGGGTCTATTTTGGGGTTTTCTTTTTCATTCATTTGTTTTGTCTAGTCCTGCCTCCACCAGTACCATAGTGTTTTAATTAACTTGTTTAACTTACTTAGTATTGATAGAATTTTTCTTTTTTAAATGGTGCTAGGGATCATACTCACGGACTCCTTTGTGCCAGGCAAACATTCTACCACTTAGTTACATTTCCAGCCCAWGGTTAAGCTTCTTTAAATTATGGGTTTATAGATTTCATCAAATTTGGGAACATTTGGGCCATCATTTCTTCAAATATTTTTTTCTCTCTCCTGAAACTTCTGCCCTATGGCCCCCTTTTGAGACTGGTTATACATATATGATCTGCTTGATTTTGTTCCATGATAAATAATTCTTTTTCCTTCCATGTTCATTTTGAATAGTTATATTTTGTTTCTCAGGTCACTGATTGCTTCTCATCTTTTTTCTTTTACTCACAAATTGTTTTGAGATTTTGTAATGTAACGTAATATGTAATGTAATGTAACATAATGTAATGTAATATCAATGGCTCATTCCTGGTAATTACTGAATAGTACTTCATTTAAGGCTAAATGACAATTTGTTTATTCCTTTAGTTGTTGATGGRCATTTAGTTGACTCCAGTTTTGTTCCCTTATATATAAAGCAATATTGTTAACTTACTTGTGGGTCGACCTGACTTTTTGAAGGATTGTTTTTAAGCTGTATTAGGGTAGATTTAGAATTGCCTTTACTCTGATGGAAAAATATGTGATTCTTTTCTGTTGTTCTAGTAGCCATGTTTTCCATCTTAACATGTATATTTAAGTTTTTTAGAATAATTTTATTAAACTTATTGAGATACAATTTGATACCATAAAATTCACCTAAGTAAACTATTCAGTTTTTTTTTTTTTTTAATTTTAGAGTGGTACAACTATCACTACAATCTGGTTATAGAACATTTCTACCTTCTCAAATGATTTCATGCCCATTTACCCTATTACCCGCTCATCCCAGGCAACCTTTTCTAGACATATACCATCTAGATGTTTTAAATGAATAGAATTGTAAATATGCTACCTTTTGCAACTGATATCTTTAGTATACTTTTCATTGTTATTGTTGTTCTTTTGYTGTTATTGTTGTTTAGTACTGAGGATTGAATCTAGAGGTGCTTTGCCACTGAGCTACATTCCCAGTACTTTTTATTTTGAGATGGAGTCTTAGTAAGTTGCTGAGGCCCTTGTTAAGTTGCTGAGGCTGGCCT